AAGGAAAGTGGTATCTTAATTGAGGGACGGAGGGAGTCCATAATATTTTTATTATATATATTATTAGAAAATCGTAGTCAAAGTAAGATGTGTGAATTGTGCAGAAATTTCAATGTTACAACTTTTATGGAGAAGTATATATGTTAGTAAATTTAAGTGAGAATTTGTGTGGGAGACCATTAGGACCGCTCTACTTTAATGAATTTCCAGGTACCTAATTATTTCTCGTCCTATATATTGTCGTCATGTCATACATTATATTAATTAGGTGGTTGAGCAGGTTACGGAGTGTATCTATATATTAGATTATATTCCTGTGTCTTGACTCAATTCTCTTGATCCAAAAGGTGTAATCTCCCACCTCAGAAGTCCCTCATACTTCGACTTGACATGATTTTTGGGAGGATGTTAATCACGGTGACTCAGTCGGCCCAATAATGGTAGGTCTTTTTCCCGAGCGCACCAGAGGTCCAGCCTTATTTCAGGTTCTGTGACCTCCACACGGTCGCTGCGGGTTTCGAACCTTGGTCACTTGGTCCAAATTTCCCACCACTGAACCAACTGAGCTACCGGTGCCGGTATGACCCAATTCTCTAGCTTGACTACCTACCTACCTATAAGCGTGTTACAAAATTAAAGTTGACGTACGTACAATTGGTATCTTAGCTTGGTCAAATGTTTCTCTTTCACATTTCTACTAAGGGTGTGTTTGGGAGTTTGAGGGTGAGGGATGGGGAAGGCATTGAAGGGGAGTAGAGAGAAGGGAAGAAGAGGGAGATGGGAAGGGATTCCCTCATCTTGTTTGGGAGTTGCAAATTTCAAAAGAGTAGCAGCTCATAAAGATTTTATGCGGAAGCGGTTTTAGTTTGAGAGGATAAATCTCTCATTTGCTCGTAGCTAGATTTTATAAAACCCTCAAATCAGGGAATTAGAAAATCATGTTTTGGAGGGTTTAGAAGGATTTTATAACAACCCCAAAACCTTTTCCTCATATTATTTTAACTCCCAAACACAAATAGGAGGGTTTATTTCCCTCACATGCCTTCCCCTCCCCTCCAAAAACCAACTCTCAAAAACACCCTAAGCAAATCTTGAGAACTATTAAAAAAGCACAAATCTTGTGGAGCAGATTTTTATTGGGGGTTATGGAGAAGGGATTATATAATTGAAAAGGTTGAAATAATAACTAATAAGAAGGTGTTTTATGACGTGGAGTATATTCCTCGATGAAACGGTTAGTATTTAGTAGCACGGGTCAATTGTGTGTGTGAAACTGTGACAATTTTTCGCCAAGTTCTAGTGTGGGGCAAAGGGAGAAACAAGGTAAATAAGTACACAAGAAGGATTTAACGAGGAAAAATTTCTTGGCTCAAAAGCGATTAAAAACCCTCGACCTCCCTCAGAGAAATTTGAAACAACTTCACTAAAGCCTTGAAATGATTAAAAATAAACTCTCCTAGTCTACCCTTGAGTCACTCCAACTCTATCCTCTTTAGGAAGAGTTATGTCTCTACCTTGCGGGTAGAGAGCCTCTTAGCTTTACAACAAAGCTACTCACAACACACATACCAACTAGAGGATACGATCAACGGCTAATACTCAAAACCCCATTACAACAGAAGGAATCTAGAAAAAAAACCATAACAACTCAGTAATACCATATTTGAAATAAATAAGCAAACAATTATTCAATAGGTAAATCATATATGGTAGGAAAATCGGCTATAAGCATGCATATCCGCAATCGATAATTACGCAACCACACATGAAAACAGAGAAAATTGCTGCCAGTGAGACCAATTCATACAAATTTTACAAAAGTAGGATTTCTTTAGTTTTTTTCCACCCGCAATACTTATATGTTCCTATTTTAAGAAACATAAATATTAGTTTCCAAATATACCCCTTCAGATGGACAGAAGCAAGCAGCGGCGAAGACCTCCCAAATCCCCTGCACTCGCCCTCTGCAATATCGTGGTCCTGCCCCAAATCGCCGCCTTCACCATACGGAATAGACATCGCTGACGACGACGAGCAAGGGCGGTGGCGACAGGAGCGGCGACGTGCAACAACGATGGTGATGGCGAACATCGACGGTAAGGAAGCTGGGGACGAAGGCGAAGAAGGAGATGCTGCCAGACTTCGAGCCATGACCGGATGATGGAGGAGAGACGGCGATCTAGCTTCGGAGACGGAGACCTGAGGACGGAGCTGCGTGAATCTGGATTTGCGAAGGACAAACGGGAGAGAGTCGGGAGAAGATGAGAGCAATTTTCTTCATTGTTTATTTAATGTCTACTTATTGTCTATTTATTGTCTATTTAATGTCTGTTATTTTCTAAAAGTAAGGGTATTGTGGTCAATACAGGTGTAGTTGAGTCTTAAGCTATTCTTCGGTCTTAGTTTTGGAAAATTCGTACGTTTTGCTCCTATTTGTTGAAATCTCCCCATGAAAACATGCATATTCAGAACAGATAATAACGTTATCACACATGGAAAGCGTAAATAATAAGAATCATATAGGTACACCATGCATGTACTAATATCCTCCGCCGAAAGTATCAGTATCCTGGAACGTTGGACAATTCCGTCCATAGTTTTCACCTGCAGAGTTAATATATTTGTTTGGCACATGCCACAAAGAAGTCATCAACAAAACATTATACTCAACATTCTCATATTGTAACACCCCGGCCCTGCAGGGTCCAAGGTAGTTACTGCATTTCTCTAATATTGTCCTCACAAACCACCACGAACCTTTACCGCGCACTTTGTCCTCACTCGCGCGCGCTTTGAGAAACTTCTCACAGCGTCACCCATCACAAGACTACTCCTGTGCAAGCACGCTTAACTTTGTAGTTCTTAGCTAATGAGCTCCCTTAAAAGGATATACACCTTGTTAAGTTGGTATGAGTAGTACTATTGATCCATTTAAAATAAATCTCAAGTATTACACATATACCCCAGGTGTATCAATATTCATGAACAAGGAGTCTCCAGAACACCAAGTTAACATTTCACCGAGGCCGACCTCGGTCTGATCGAGGTCGACCTGAACATTTGACCCCCAGATCACAAAGCTGAGGCCAATACCGAGGCCGACCTCGAGCACACCGAGGTCGGTACCAGATCTGACCTCCGACACAGGTACAAAGTCAACAGGAGTCAACGGGAATGAGAAATGGCCGCCATCAGACAAACTTAAGACCAGAATCAAATCTTCCTAAATGAGCTCACTGTACCTGATCTCTGACCTCATGGAGCTCGGGGCCTCCCTAACTAATTGTGGATGGCACACGTGTGTCCTGGTACGCAAAGGACAAATTCTGTTACGCACAGTACCAATCAGCCAGCTGTCCAGTTATCTCTCCAATCACCCTTTACACGTGTCGCCATACTATTAGATTAGTACATTTGTTCTGTTAAACAGGTGCGACACATGTCTTCACCACAATTGAATAACATCTTTTTACTTGTTGGCCAAGTATTTCTCCCTTAGTATAAATATCTCCTTCCATCTTCTGCAAACAGATCCGAATTTTGTTGTAAATAACTTGTCATTACTCTGCTTAAATTACCACCCGAATCTTACTTAGCATTTTTCCGCCTCTCTTGTAATCTCAGATTCCGACTATCCCTGGGTCGGCGATCCATTAACGCGTGTATTCCTTTACGCCTTTTAATTTTACGATCCACTTTCTTTTAATATTTTTATGTACGAATAATTCAAAATATAGGTTTCTCCGAACTGAATTGCAGTTTGTGAAATTTAATTAAAGTTGATTTATAATTAAGGTAAATCATCTTTGTAGATAGTTAAATCAACTTTAACAATTAAATATAAATCACATATTTGAAAACTAAACTAATGGTTCTATAAAATCACAAAAATCAAATTAGAATATAAAAAATTGATATATGACGATTTAAATTTATTTTCAATCAACCTTAAAATCCATAAATTGCATTTTATTTTGGGATGGAGAAAGTAATATATTACATCCGTCCTTTTTTATTTAGCCAATTTTGACTTTTTTTTGTCAAAGATGATAAAATTTGATTTATTATTTTAACTAATACATTTATGTGAAACTTACGGAGTAATAAATTTATACTTTTATAATGGTAATTTTAGCAAAGAACATTTTCATATCATTTTCATATCATTTTCATATTATCAATATTACCGTGTATAAATATATAATTGATCAAAGTTTAACTTTTTGACTTGAAAAGTCGAGTTTGGCTAAATAAAAGGGACGTAGGGAGTATATAATTCATATCACGACCCCATAATCACTAAAAAAAATCGCTCGTAGTCACGGACCGTAGTCATGGATTTGGTCCGTGACTAGTTAGTCACGGTTCTCATTACGGTTTAGTCACGGATCGTTTAAAACAAAAATAGTCACGGACAAATCCGTGACTACGTCCGTGACTATGGTATTCCGGACTACAGTTAGTCACGGATACGTCCGTGACTAATGCCGTGACAAGTGCAAAATTAATTTTTTCAAACGTTCCAAATTTAAAGTGTTCCGAGAAATCGTACAAAAAAATGTAGTCACGGACACATCCGTGACTACGTCCGTGACTAGAAAATCACACCATCCACACCATATAGAATTCCAGATAGAATTGAAGGATGTAATCTAACCATCTCATATCATTTTTACTGTTTATGCAGATAAGGTATGTAATTTGAATTACATATTTTTTGTATGAATTAGATGGTTCATTTTAGCTACATTAGTTAAATTAATTAATTAGCTACATTAGTTAATTAAACTTTTGTTAATATTATTAGTTAAATTTAAGGAGTATAATTTTGTTTGAAAAAAGCAGAAGAATAGACATAAAAAATTAAATGTGAGAGTGTGAGACGCATATATATTTATTTCATTCATTTCAATTAAATATGCGTAGCTAAAATGAGGGAGAGCCATTATATAATTTTGAAACAGAATAGCTTTTCCAGCCACTCTAGCTGCAGGCTTATCGGTGAAATAAATAAAATAAAATAAAATAAAAATACATAACAATAATGTTAGCTTAATTACCCACACCATCTTGAAGGTTTAAAATAATCTCAGAAAATCGAAGAGTTTAATTGCTGATCGAATTGAAGAGATTTGCATGCATGCATGATCGATCAAGAGATCTATCGACGCAGGCCGGTTAATTAATTAATTAATTAATTAATCATTTAATTAATTAATTGATAAGGCTAGCTTAGCTTGGGTGATTAATTTCCCTTGTCTTCGTTGGGTTGACATTAATTATATTATAATAAATCATAAGAAGAAATGGTCCAACGTGGAAGGAACTGTCGGAGATCGGATGACGACCAGCGGCGGCCATCAATGACGGTATGTATTCATTAATGTGTATATATATAATAATAAATTAATAATATTATAGGATCATATATTTATATCACTGGATTCTATTTCATTGTTCCATTAAATGCTTTGTATTTGTTTAATTAAGATAAAATAACCTTAGATGATACTCCGTATCCATTATTATCAGTAAATTAATAACGCTAATATGTAATTTGAAATTTAGTTTAGATAATACTCGTACCAAGTATTTTATATTTTTAACAAACAAGAAAGCTGTCTTGCACGGATAGGTCACTTTTGGAATACAAATCATCAGTTTATGAAGCTTAATTTGTTTACTTTAGGGTCACTATTTTGAAGATAGAGTCTAGGTTTTGGATGGGTTAAGTTACGGGATTTACGTCATTAAAAGTGTCTTTATATATTCAAATAGTTGATATTATCACGTCTTCCTAAGTAATTTATAAATTAATTTATCCGATTCGAATTGAATCCATTGTTGGTCACTTAAATTCAATATTATCATAACTAGATATTGAGTGCATGTTTGGGTGAACTAGAAAGTGTAGATGTACTTCTCTATGCTAGCTCCAAATTGCTCATATAAAGAGCTTTTTAGAAGATGAGGAAATCTGTTTATAAAACGATTGCAGAAGCAGAATTAATTACAAACACCCTCTAAATTTGTGCCCTCTCGTATATGCCATGAAACAAAATTTAAATTACTTACTTTGTTTGAAATATATTACTTCTTGCTTGCAAGACAAGAGAAATATAATACTACAACACCGTCCCAAAAGAAAGCTGAGTTCATGTCTACTATTTCTATCTTCAAAATAACTCTGTAATACTCCGTATAATTTATATATAGAGGAGAATTGCATAAATAAAAGTAAAAAAGTTTTGAAATTCCAAAATAGGACTATCATGTTTTTTATTCCTTGAATATGAGTAAATTTCTACCAAGTTTAGCATTACTAGGCTATAAAAAATGACATTTTTTCCCAAACTTGGCAGATTGCTCTTATTCAGGAAATAAAAAATATGAAACTCCTATTTTGGAATTTCAAAACATTTTTGCTCCTATTTAGAGCAATTTTTATTTATATATTGAACTATTATCATATTCTAATATCAAAAACAATTTAACAATCCTTATTATGATTCATGAATACGCATAAATTTGTTTCTACATACTCCCTCAGTCCCGAAAAGGTTTGCTAATATAACATTTCTTGGTCAATGACAATCAACTTTGATCAATGATATTTTTCTTAATACGAAAATATTTAAATATAAAAATTATATCAAAATGTTTCTTATTCAAAAGATCTTCATAAAAATATAAAATTTATAAATTATATACAAATATTATAATTAAAATCATTATCTAAAGTTTGACATCATTCATGTAGTATTTTTCATGATAAAACGAGTTTGATAGTCATTTTGAAAAGGATTCTACAATGTAATGATTCCCGGTCAGATTCGCATGAAAGCAGATTTCAACAAGTAGGAGCAAAATGTACGGATTTTCCAAAACTAAGACCGAAGATTAGCATAAGACTCAACTACATCTGCATTGACCACAATACCCTTACTTTTATAAAATAACAGACATTAAATAGATAATATATAGATAATAAATAGACAATAAATAAACAATAAATTCTGATAACAACCTCCGTTGAGTTGCCGTACAATAAGGGCTCTGGTTTTAACTGGAATCTCCCTTTCAAAAGTTCAAATCTTTCCCGCATACAAACCCTAAACCCCCAAATCCAGATTAGATTCTGTTATGACAGAGTTGTGGTAGCCATAGTGAACACTAGCTGCTTTGAGGGAGAATAAGAGGCATCACAATCGAGAAGAATTTGAAGAAGAGGGGTGGGTTGTTGTCTGGTTCCATCCCCAGACGCAGACGACTGACCTGATTAAGATAATTCATCCGCAACAATGATTCAGACTCACCAAGCCGCCGCCTAGCTGACCGGCTAGGATGAACAAGGCCGGATCAGAGAAATCAACTCTACGGATGTATGTCCAGACGATTCTCTCGCCAATAGTTGTTTGGAGACAGAGATAATTTGGGAGTAATTAGTTGAAGGGGTAAATTTGGAAACTAATAATTATGTTTCTTGAAATAGGAGTATATAAGTATTACACATGGAAAAAAACTAAAGAAGTCCTACTTTTATAAAATTTGTATGAATTGGTCTCACGGGCATCAATTTTCTCCATGAAATTAAGGCCTTTTCAATATGAAAATTATTTACGAAAATTCGCGTGACAAATTGGAGGTGATTTTTTATTGCATTCGTACGTATTTGATTTTGCAATTCGATACTACTTTAGATTAATTTCTAAATATTAAAAGCTCTTTTCTAAATTTCAATGAATGTAATTCCAAAAACAATCATTTTACGTTTCAACTTAGCTTAATGAGGGACGTACACAATATTTTTCTCATTCTTCATTAAACTAATATGGTTATGATTTCCAACTAGTAAAATATTGATCTATTATTGAAGCTCATTCCAAAATCCAAAATCCAAAATAAAGAGAAAATGGTCAAATATGTCATCCAACTATTATCTAACCATATATTCTGAACAATCATGTTTGATGTACACACTCTTGTACACACCTTATACACACCATATTTGTGAAGCTTTTTTTTGTCTGTGAACCCGGTTCACAGATAATATTTTGTTTGTGCAAAACATTGTCTGTGAATCGATGTTCACAGACAAAAAAAGTTTTCACAAACATAGTTGTGTACAAAAGTGTGTACAAACATCATTTTTGTATTCTGAATCCACACCCGTGAACCAGATAATAATTTGCAAATATTATATACTCCGTATTACTTAACTCATTCAGAAAACAATTTTTAAAATAATATAAAAGGCTAGAATATGAAATTTCACATGGCCAAAATTAAAAATCGACCACATTTATGCAATAGACAACTTAATAGAAATGTTAATTTTAAGAGTGGAAGTTATACATTAAAGTTGGCCACAAACAAAAATGGAGGATTATGGACCAACCGAACTTTTTAGGGAAAATTCCTGAAATAGAAGTAAAAAAGTTTGAAAATTTCAAAATAGAACTGCCATGTTTTTCCTCCAAGATAGGAGTAATTACTGCCAAGTTTGGAAAATATTGTAATGTTTAAAGTTTAGTACTGGCATTCTGTCAAAATATGACAGTAATTAGTCATATTTTGGGAATAAAAACATGATAGTCATATTTTAGAATATACAAACGTTTATAGTCTACGGTAATTTACCAACTTTTTATCTTAATTCAAAAGTTAGATAGGAAGAATGGGCATCACAATATACTTCACCATGCACGGAGGCACCAACTAAAATTTAACCGGTTTTAGAAAAATGATACTACCCAGTTTTCTTTTAATTGCAACATTGAACTTTTTGCATGATTCACACATTCTACTTTGACTATATTTTATTTATTAATGTATTATAAATTAAAATTTTAAAAAAGTATTGTTAAATTCTTCTCACTTTAAATTTTCAAAATCTGAAATTTTTAATTTTTCTACTAATAAGGAACGAAAGATATTAATTGTCAAACTTGTGCATTGACAAATGTGAAAAAGTGGACTGTTGCAATTAAAAAAGAACAGAAGAAGTACTTCGTATATGTCAAGAATGCGATTCGAACCCATGCCCTTTCGGACCGGTACCTGAAACCGGCACCTTAGACCAACTCGGCCATCTTGCCCAATTGTTGAGTTTATTTCTTCAATAATCTATGTTCATTACAAATCCGACAATACTTTTTTTTGGAAATACAAATATGACAATACTTGACACTTGCCAAATGGGTAGTGTATCTATTCAGGACCTCAAAGATAGATGAACTATTAATTCATGTCCTGAAAGATGTAATGTTTTTATGAACATTTTTATTTTAAAGTTTTTAAATATTATTCAACTTTATTTGATCATTCTATTCCTATATCGACTCATTTCATATTTCAGATCCCGGATGGATAGTTTATCTATCTTTTAGATCATGGATTGATAAAATTCTTTTTGAACACACACACATATAGACTCCATTCTTTTTAATATATAGCTTATATAGTTTATATCTATAATAAAATAATTACACATAAAAATTTAAAATAAGTGTTATTTAGAAAAATGTGATCTCCTAAGTATATGACTATAGAAGTAACTTAGTAATTAGTAATTCATATTCAATTTTACCACTTAATTGAATATGAAACTATACTATAGTAGCTATTATTCATATTATGAAAGAATGACTAAAATATTATCCGTAGATTTTCGTTTTCCAACCATCATTACACCTAACGTCCAGATCAGATCAATTCTTTCATCCTCCTCTATGGCTCTACTAGATCAGTAGATGCCCCCGCCACAAGACATCCGGTCTCCGACACCACTAGTAGTGGCGGACCCAGGAAAGTCATCTTAGGGGGTGAAAATATTTTTTTGGGTTCAAAATATTTTTTCGGACGGAGAAAATTATTTTTCATATATATATACACTAAAAAAATTCTTGTTGGGGGGCGGTAACCCCCTGGGTCTGTACTACGGTCCGCCCCTGACCACTAGACATTGAATCTTCCGTTAGCTCGCCACCTCCTTATCCAAATCGCCTCCTCCTCCTTAGCTCGCGACTTTTATTCTTCTTCTTCTTCATTTACTGCCCGATGTAAGGTGATGGTGACGATGAGGACCGAATTTGAATAAGATGAATACAGTCTCCAATTTAGCGTGTTTAATGTTTATTAGTTACATTTTTGGAAATTATTAAAAATATCCCCTTTCGTCCATTTTCGACTTTTCACTAATATTGAGGTCAGAACTCCAAATATTTTTGAAACAAAAATCCATATAGAATCTATATTGTATAATAATAATAAAAGTAATAAAAAATATAATTATACTAATAATAATAACAGCAACAACAAAGTACAAGGAGAAGGAGAAGAAGTAAACATTCATTGTCTGAGACTACCC